TTTTACTTGTATGTGTCATGCAAATACACATCTACCCACATACTCACAGTGCCAGGAGCAGGCACTGTTCAGACATGTGTGCACTCCCTAGCTCTGTAGAGACTCACCTTGCCCATCCCAGAGTGTGCATGACCCATCTTCACAACCACAGGGTATGTTGTGCTGCTGAGCTGGTGGGGACAAAGGCAGAGGAGGCATGGTTAGAGCAGAAGGGCTGATGCCCAGGTCTAGGGGTGATGCTGAGGGGACCCCATCCAGTGGAAGCCACGCTATGAACCATTTCCCAGGAGAGGTGGGTCAGAGATGGGGAGGCAGCAGCTAGGAGTCACACAGCACCTCTGAGCCCAAAATTGAACTCAGGGCCCTGTCTACCTGTCCGTCCCTGCACCCCTAAGTCCCAGACTTCCCACACCTCCTTCCAGGGCTCAGGCATGGGTTGAGGGTGGGGGAGTTTTCTAGAAGAGAGAAAGTTTGTTTTTACAGAGAATGGATAGAGTTGAGTGTGTGGGTGTGTTTGTGTGGTGGTGAGCATGTAGCAACTGGACCCCTCGGCTAAGCTTTGTACATTAGCCATGTCCACACGAACAATTAGGGACACAGGAAGATCTACACCACCAAACGCAGACATGCCCATCACAACGGAGACTGGCAAACACAGTCTCTGGGGCTGCACAGAGACCTACACACTCATCCAGCCAGCTGGGGGCTCATAGCAGGGGACAGCAGCCGGGACAGCAGCCAGGACAGCAGCACACAATTGACACTTAGACATATGACCAACACTTTTGAGCACACACACAGGCTCCCTCCCCTCACTCAAACCCACAGGCTAGTCAGGGGGACGTACATGATAACAGATTACCCATGCAATACACAACTCTACAGGCACACACAACTGGACACACACTCAACACAGGCATACACACAACACTCCTAGGCACATGCACAACAAATAGAAGGACCCAGACAACATACATAGGGAAGCGCACTTTTAGGTAGTCACATTGCCACTCCCCAGGGCACGCGGAATGTATCTAGAACAGAGTTTTCAACCTTCTTTATCTCACGGCACACTTGAACCTATAGTTAAACTTCCATAGCACACTTAAATCATGTTCATCCAAAAAGAGAGTTAAAAAAAAGAATATACTACTGTGCATTGAACTTCTCTTGAAAATTTAATTCATGATCTTTAAAAATGTTCCCAGCATACCTAAGATCCTCTCATGGTACACTGGTTGAAAATTACTGATATAGATACACACACACAACATGCCTTGCCGTATACACTTACAATACAGAGAGCACACATACAACCAGAGACACAACTCTCCTAAGTATGCAGACAGCACCCCAGGCACCACACACACACACACACACACACACACACGCACACTCACACACTTGAGGGGGAGATACCAAGTCTCCCCTGACCCTGGGCAGGACGACCCAGCCCCACCATAGCACATCTGAACCCACGGGGCACCTCTGGCCCTCCCTCCCCCTGACAAGGTAGAGAGATGGCATTCCCGGAGGGGCTGCTGGGGCGGTGACAGTTCCCGGTTCCCGACAGGCAGGCACAGGAAGCCCGTAAACTCAGTGTGACCGACTGACCTTCAGGCCTCGCCCTCCCTCTGCATCATCACTCCCCCTTCCTCATTTCCCAAATGACTGGCGTCATTACGGGGAATGGGGGGGGTGGCTGAGAGTGCGATGATAGGATGAGGGGTTGAGAGGGTCCTCTGGGCAGTGTGCCAAGGAAACAATGCCAATGCAGGCATTGCTCAGTGTCCCTCAGGCATGCACACAGCACAGAAGCGGACAAGGCATTCACTGTCACTTATGCATCTTAGGCCCTCTTTACTGAGGCAGATACACACAGCTCCCAGAAGCAACACACAAAACATGCAGGCACATGCCTCCCTCTCAGGAATGGACAGACAACACACCAGAGAGCTGTGCAGATGCGTGCCCACCTCCCCAACCCCCACAGTCTGTAGGTCCCTCTTTCCATTAACTGTCCTTGTTTCTTCTGGACATGAGCCCGAACATAATGCTGTGGAAGTGCCGGTCGAACATAATGCTGTCTAAGTGCCGGGTGCGGTGGCTCTTGCCTGTAATCCCAGCACTCTGGGAGGTGGAGGTGGGTGGATAGCCTGAGTTCCAGATATCAAGACCAGCCTGAGCTAGAGCGAGACCCTGTCTCTAAAAATAGCCAGACATTGTGGGCCTGTAGTCCCAGCTACTTGGGAGGCTGAGGCAAGAGGATCACTTGAGCCCAAGATTTTGAGGTTGCTGTGAGCTATGATGCTATAGCACTCTAGTCAGGGTGACAAAGAGAAACTCTGTCTCAAAAAAAACCACCAAAAAACAATGCTGGGTAAGTAAGTGTATGACCACACGTGTGTGCATGCACAGAGCTTTGGACTATGACTCTGGGATCCCTTCGAAAGCTCCAGGGTTATTTCTGGCCTCTCCTCTTCTTAAGGCCTTGTGGGACCCCAGCCAGGTCCCTTAACTCCTCTCTGGAACTTAGTTTCTGGATCTGTACAAAGGGCACAATCAGGCCCAAGCTCTTGATATGTTGTGGGGGTCTTCAGGTGTCCACTCTGCACATGCTAGCTTTCCCCATGGGCCCCCACACCAGCTCCCTGGGTGATCACACACCTGGACATCCCTCCGTGGCGCCCATCCCTGCCTGTTTCAAATCTGTGTTATCCCAGATCCACATGACTCCTCCCATGTAAACAGTCGGCAAAACTCTGTGCTGAGTCAGGTTTCAGAGCTGGCGTCAGAACTGGGGTCAGCAAGGGGCTGAGGCAGGACTTTCCCTGCCCTCAGTTCTCCTTGGTCTGTGTTACTCAGCTCCCTGTCTCATTCACTCTCACTCCCTCACTTTCACAATCTGCTTCCACAGATTTTTGGTTTACTTCCCTTCCTCACTTTTTGGTTTCTCCAACAGACATTTCTTCATTTTCATTCCTGGGCAGGTCACTTGACCCCCTTTTGTCTCAGTTTCCTCATCTGTTTAACGAGATTATGAGCCATATCTAACTCACAGGGATATTGTGAGGAATCAACTAGTTATTTCTGGAGAAATGCTGAAACAGCATCTGGCACACAGGAAGACTTAACCGAAGAGCACTGGGTACTCTTATTATGATTGGCTTAGCATCAGTTTCCTAACTAATATTAATGAACAAAGATAATCAGGATTGACTGAAAGATATGTACAAATGTACACACAGAGACTTTCCAACAGTGTTTGATACTCTGTTAAGTGCTAGTGGTAGTTTTTGTTGTGTTGCTGTTGTATTTGAGCTAACCCCTCTGAGTTAGTGGAGCTTAATTAGCAAAGGGGTAACAGCAGAGTGAATGAGCTAAGTTATACAAAGACTTTAGCATACAGTGCACAGTAAGTAGCTGCCATCATCACTATCATCATCATTATTATTGGTCTGTCTTCCCCCAAATTAACCAAGAATGTTAATCAGGACCCCAGGGAAGACTCCAGCATCATCCAGAAACTGGTGAGCAGGGATTGCCTCACACTCACCCCCTACCAGGGGTGTGGGACAGTTGGTGGGGAAGGGGCAGGGCAGGATGGGGTGGGGACGGTTTTCTACTGACTCACTTGCTTCTTTCACCACTATTCACCCCCTTCCCAATGCCCATTAATTTACCTACGCTATTCCCTGCCTGCTAGGACCATGCTGTTTCTGGGTTGAGATCTTGAGGCCAGTTAGCCTAGATTTGAACCCCAGCCATGCCCTGTGATCCTGGGAAATTTCTTCAGTCTCTCTACACCTCATATTTCCTCATCTGTAAAATGGGAATAATACTCAGACACTTGTTGTGAGCTTTAAAGTAAGATAAATTGGCTCGGCGCCTGTGGCTCAAGCAGCTAAGATGCCAGCCACATACACCTGAGCTGGTGGGTTCAAATCCAGCCCAGACCAGCCAAACAACAATGACGGTTACAACCAACCAAAAAACAGCCAGGTGTTGTGGCGGGCACCTGTAGTCCCAGCTACTTGGGAGGCTGAGGCAAGAGAATCGCTTGAGCCCAGGAGTTGGAGAGGTTGCTGTGC